ATATACCCGAAATTAAAACAAGATACATACTTACACATACATCCATAAATTTTTACTTATCATATTGACATAGATTTAAAAGTATAATACCCTTGATTGGCCAGGGCTTTGGGAAACGTAGCATTCATGTGCTGTTGGTGGGAATATAAATTAGCAGTCTCCGGGAGGGCAATTTGGCAGTACACATCAAAAGCCTTAAACATGTGCAAACCCTTTGGGCCAGCAAGTCAACTTCTAGACTTTTATTTTAAGGAGATAATTATGCAAATAAGCCTGGATTTATTCTCATCATGTTGACTACAAGAGTGAAAGATTGTCAAAATAAATAACATGACTTGAGATTAGTTAAATCAATTACATATATGGCAAAATGCTATGCAGCTGTTACTTTCTATAAAAATTTCTTAATGATGTAGGAAAGTCTCATTCTATATTAAGTGAAAAAAATAGGTCACAAAAAAGTATGTCCACTGTAATCTCATTTTTTATAATAATAAAAATAAAAACAAACTTGTACACAAAAAGTATGGGAAGAACAAACACCAAAATATTGGGAGGACTTATCTGTGGGTGGTAGGATTACAGATAATTGCTTTTTTCTTTCTGTGCTTTTTTCTATTTTGGGAAGGTTTTTATAAAAAACATGCTTCTTTCGTCATCAGCAGAGAGCTACTCATGAATCCTTGCAGTAGAAAAGGACAGGCTGGCCTCTGTATAGGGAGACTGTGGACAAGGTGCCCTCAGGCCCTTTTCGGCCCACAACCTGCCCCATGTACATACTTAGCTTCTATTGGGTCCACATATGGACTTAGTTTCAGCTGCTCTCCTCACGGGGTGGGGAGGGGCACCCTGGATTAACCCAGAACACGCAGCTGGTGCAGTCTTCAGCGCAGCCACCCTGCTTAACTCTTTTCTTGTGCTTACCTCCCTTTAGGAAGTGACATGTTTTTAGCACAAAGGAAAAGAAAAACCTCCCTGAGGCTGGTCTTGAAATTTACTAAATTGCAGGAAAAAGCCCCTAAAACTCTTTCTAAAACTGACCATTCTCAGGGTTTCGGTAAAACTTTTACAACTCTGAAATGCTCATTTAACCTATTGTTGGTAGCCCACTAGAAGGTATATAAAGCTCTGCTCAAGGTAACGATGGGGGTAATCTCCTTTCCTCTCTTCCAATGTCTATGTCAGAAGCCTTTTTTGTTTCCTTCCAGTAAACTTCCTCACTGCAAAATAAAAAAGAAAGAAAGAAAGAAAACTGACTGCCCTCAAAGTCACTTTCCTTTCTAAATGCTGCCAGTGTGTGTTGGTGGATAAATTTCCTAAGCCTGTCTTTCTTTGCATCAAGGATGTGTGAGGTGAGGAAGATAGAGGTATTATTGAGGGGCAGCCATCTGACATCCTACACTTGGGCTCCGTGTGTATTCTCCCATTTAAACCTTTAACTCTGTTGATGTGATTTCCCCAGGTTCCAAGTACCCCAGTTAGCCCAGCTGAGCCAGGATGGGACTTGGGTCAGACAGGTCCAAAGCCTGTGAATACTCAGCACATGAGGTGCCTCTCGGGCAGCCAGGCCCCTCGCACTGCAGAGGTCGCCTTACCTCTGGGTGACCACATGGGACCATCTGTCAGCAGAGCCGAGGCTGGGAGCCAGGGCCTCTATCAGCTGAGAGGTCCGAATTGCAGCCTAAAACACATGGACCCCTGAGCCTGCAGGATTCCCTTCCAACCTCCCCCCCGCCCACATGGGTCTGCTTCCCTCCTATGGGGGGAAGCCAGGCAGGGTGTCACCTTCACCCTGGGGGCCCACCAAAGGGACAGCCTCTGAGGCCTGCTGGAACAAAGGTGCTCAGAAGCACACAGCTGGGTGAGCTGACTGGCTCCCTGCACTGGAGGCATGAACACCTTGAACTCAGCAGCAAGCAAGGCCAGCCCACCCAGGGAAGATGCCCAGATCTGTGTGGAATGGTGCATGCATGCTAAGCCACTTCAGCTTGTCTGACTCTTGGTGATCCCGTGGACTGCAGCCTGCCAGGCTCCTCTGTCCATGGGATCCTTCAGGCAAGAATACCGGAGTGGGTTGCCATTTCCTCCTCCAGGGGATCTTCCTGACCCAGGGATCCAACCCGTGTCTCTCATGCAGGCGGGTTCTTTATCACTAATGCCACATGGGAAGTCCGAAGGGAGGAGTTGCATGCAAACTGGGGCTGGGTGACCTCAGGAAAAGGAGCAACGCAGCCCTGGGGTAACCATGGGTGTGATACCAGCTTCTCACCAGGCCCAGTCTGCTCGGGGCTGCCCAGAGACAAGGAGCCTAAGGGGCCAAGTTTGCACAGACTGCCAGCATTGCCTGCAAACAGGCAGTGGGGAAGGCTTGCTGGGCTCTAACTGCTTCCTTTCCAGAAAGCTCCCAACTTCATACCGGGTGAACACACCCCTCCTTTGGCCTCCCCATCTGAAATTCACAGACCCTATCTCTGACCTGGGCTCAGCACCAGAAACCTCACACACTATATGCTTAGTTGCTCAGTTGTGTCCAACTCTGGGACCCCATGGACAGTAGCCCGGCAGACTCCTCTGTTCATGGGGATTCTCCAGGCAAGAATATTGGAGTGGGTTACCATGCCTTCCTCCGGGGGATCTTCCCAACCCAGGAATCAAACCCAGGTCTCCTCCATTGTAGGGAGATTCTTTACCAGCTGAGCTTCCAGGGAAGCCCCAGACCCCAGGCTTAATTTCCTGCCAGCCCTATAACAGCCCCACTCACTTGGCCACCGTTTACTGTGATCTCACTTTACCTAATCCCAGCTCTCTTCTTCACATGGAAGGAAACAGATTCTTAGCGTTGCTGAGGGGCTGGCCCCTACTTCACAGTAGTGAGTGGGATTCAATTCCCAGCTGCCGAACTCTGCAGGGGGACTCTGGCCCGTGACCCACAGAGCCTGCTGACCACCCCCACAGCCTGCTCCGTCCTGGGAGGAAGGGCAGGGATGGTGGCAGAGGGAGGCTCTGTGGGAGGTAGACTGGACCCTCTGGCAGCTGGTGTAGAGCTCGCTACCCCTTACCCGGGCTAAATGACTCCCACAGTCAGCCAGCAGCCTCTCTGATGCTCACAGCCAGGGAGAAAGATCCTCTGGGTGTCATGCGCTCAGAGGAGACAGTAATAGGGGAAGAGCCACCACTCACTCCCCTGGAGCTTCCCTGGTGGCTCAGTGGTAAAGAATTTGCCTGCCAATGTAGGAGACATGGGTTCGACCCCTGGTCCGGGAAGATCCCACCTGCCTCGGAGCACTTAAGCCCATGCGCCACATTACTGAGTCGGTGCTCTAGACTCCGGGAACTGCAACGATTGAGCCTGCGTGCAGCAGCTACTGAAACCTGCGGGCCCTAGAGCCTGTGCTCCTTAACAAGAGAGGTCCCCACAGTGAGAAGCCTGCACACTTCAACAAAGAGTAGCCCCCGCTCTTCACAACTAGAGAAAAGCCCGCGAAGCAACGAAGATCCAGCACAGCCAAAAAAAAAAAAAAGAAAAGAGAAGTAACCCTGGAGTGTGAAATATAACAAGGTCATGCCAGGAGTGGTTCTGTTGGACACTTTCCAGAGCTCCTGGGCTAGCGAAGTGGGTAGGCCCAAGACATGAAGGTGAAATATTCTAGCAAAAGCTTCTAGCTCCCCAAGACCCTAGCTGCCATGTTTGGGAATGTGAGGCCTGACTCCTTCCTCCCTCATCAAGAAAAGCTGCTGGGGAGGTGGTGGCGCCCTGACCCGCCGTGTGCTCCCGTGGGATGAAGGTGGATCATGGCTGGCTTCACATTTCATTCTTAACCCACGCAGGGCTGGGTGTTTCTAATCTGAGGGTCCAGGCTGCTTGCTGCTGGGGGAGCTGCCCTGGCCAGCCAGGAGGTTCCAAACTCCACTCCGGACTCCGAATGGACCACTCCAGACATGAGGGAAATGCCCCCTAAATTTCCACCAAGTCTTGTAGGCTAGGTTTGTGACACATTTTTGCAGCTAACACCTCCTCTGTCTTAATTAATCCCAGCTCCAATGCTGTAAGGGAGGCTTTGAATCGCCCCGGGTCACAGAACAGGAAACTGAAGCTCACAGAGGGCCAGAGCCTTCCCCAAAGTCATCCATATACGAGAAAGCAGTGTTGGAACCCATGCTCAGGTCTCCCTGATGCCTGGGGCTGGAGTGCCCTCCACAGCCTCCTTGAAAGGTGACTACTGCAAGACTGGGGGGAGCCACCTTCTACCCCTGAATCTATGGACATTTACCCTTCCTGCATCCTCCTGGCCTGAGGCACAGAACAAAAGTGTCTCCTGACAGGATTGTCCTGTTGTACTCCCCTTCACCGGGCTCACCCCCTGCTCTTTGTTTATCAGGATTTTTGGAAGCTGCTGTCACGGGCAGGACCAGACAGCGGCACAACCTCATGTCACCGTGCTTCTGCTGTGGCGCTCACTCGGCCCAGGCTGGGGTCGTCCGTTCCAGGTATAAGCTAGCTTTTAGGTTTAACTGTAAAAGATCTGAGAAGTAATGACACCAAAGAGGCCACACGGGAACCAATCAGTCTCCGGTTTGGAGTGGGGACAGCAGATGGGGAGCTGGGACAGGCAGTCTCCTGTTCCCTGGGAAGAGGATGACATCCAAGCCTGTGGGGGAGCACTCACTCAACGGTCAAGGACTGGACCCTGGGCTCAGGGCTGTCATACTGGCTGGGAAGAGCAGTGTTGGGTGGTCTCAGCATGCCCATGAGACTCTTGAATTGTCTGCAGGGCCGCTGGAGGGGCAGACGGTTCCTGCCAGGCCAGGGCCTTGCAGACCTGCACATTTTGCATCTCCACAGAACTAACGCTAATCCACCCACAGAGACTGCGGCCTCTGAGGTGCAGAGGTGGAGGTGGGGAGGAGAGGGGTGCAGACAGTTAAATAAAGGCACAGAGGAAGAAGATTGGCTAGAGAGTAAAGGGCAAAGAGAGAGAAAAAAATAAATGGCAAATTACCGGGTAGCCATCTCGTCCCGATTGCCCCTGTGGTAATTAATATGTCGTTAATAATTAGACCTTCAGTAGAAACACCATATGGCAACACTTAGAACTCAACCAGGGCCCCAGATCCCGCCACCCCTGTGTCTGCGGAGTTCGCAGCAGAGGCTGCTGATGAACTCCTTCAAGGGGGAATGCAAGGCTGCAGCGGGTCTGGGGGATGGAGCACCTAGTCCCCACCTCATTGACCTGGCTGGAGGGGTCGCCAGGGCACACACCACAGTGTCTTCCTCACATCAGCTGAGGCACATGGGAAGGACCTTGTGGAGTTCTAGGGGGTGGCGTCTTAGCTACCACGGACAACGCTCCTTCAAAGGGCCTCACGGGTTTCCTGTCTGTTCCTGGGAATGGGGCGACCCGAAGAAGACAGCCTTTGGAAGTCAGAGGTATGGGGACACGTTGACTGCTACCGGATGCTTCTCTGACCCCATGTGCTTGTAGTAGTGGCTGCCCAGACCCTGGACCACACATCGGCCTCCACTTCAGGTTGCCGTGGGAGCTACGGAGCCACCTTCCAGAATCCCATGGGGTCTTTGCCATGTGCAGCTTGAGAATTCTGCATTTGTTTAATTCACTTAGTCATTTTACAGCCAAGTTAAAAAACACAAACATACACACAACAAGACAAATTCGCTCCATAGCCCTCTGCCTTCTGCACTTTGGCGAGTTCACACAGGCTAGCCTCCACATGACAGGAATGACTCAACTGCGTAAAACTGCTTCTGGCCCGTAAATCTACACATTCCAGCTTTCTTTCTCAAAGGGGTGCTGCTACATGCACCAAGACATTCAGATTCTGAAGGGTGCAGATTGGGAAATGAATCATGGTTAAGTGGAAGTAAAAATGAAGGTGCTCATCTGAAAGGAATTCCTTTAGAAGGTTAATTTTGGCTCAAACATACTGTCATTGTGTTTCTTGAATGAATTCATTGGGATTTATCAGGCTCTGAAAAACTGCCAAGATGAATCAAAGGCGGACGTGTCATGGGTCTTGGAGAAGGAATGGGATTTCTGGGGCTGCTGTGGATCCACTAGCCACCCCCTCCCTCACACCCTTCTCCAACTCAGCGCCCTTACTGGCCAGCTGTACTCTCGAGGTCTCTGCTGCCCAGCCCAGAGAGTCAAATATTCTGGCAAAGAAGGAAAACAGACCCCAGAAGCTAGTGGTTAAGCCCCACTTATTCTTGACATAGTTGCCTGACTCCAGAGTCCTTTCTGCCAAAGCACGTGAGATGAAAATGTTTACTCAGATCAACTGCTGCAGAATGGTCAGGAAATACAGGCATGGTGCTTGAGCTTCTGTGTACCAAGTTAAAAAACTTGAGCCAGAGATTTTGATGAGGAGCAGCCAGGCTCGTGCCAGCTCTCTTGGAAGGAAAATGGTCACAGGATGCTTCACTGGGCAAGTCAAGCACATGGAATCCTGTGCTTGCATTCATCTACAAATGCCAAAAGAACATGTCCTCTGGCTGAGACTGAATATTTTTTTTTAAGAATACACCTCTCTAATCAAATATTCTTTTCATAGAAGTGCTACAACAGAGAAACAACAGAGAAAACAAAATATCTTATCTTTCAGGAGCAGAGAACATAATCCAGGACACTTACAGGAGGACCTGCAAAACACAAACAGAGAAGCCACAGTAAGTATCAAAGGGAGAGAGGGTCCCCTCATCCTGGCCAGCCCCTTCCTTGCACAGCTCCTGGTCACCCCTCTTTGCAAGGCTCTGATGCTGTCGTCAGCCCCAAAGCCAAGTGTCAGGGCAGAGGGAGCACCCCTGTCCTTGGAGGGACTGGATGGGCATGTGTGTGGTTATGACAATCCAGCAAGTTTTGGTTCATGCATTCATGACATGAGGCTGCTGTTGCTTCCTGCTTGGGGGCACACCCGTGTTGGGCTTTGGTAGGCAGGGTAGGAATCAGATCTGTTCCTTCTTGAAGAATACATTTTGGAGCTCAATGGGGGTTGGTTCATTTCTGTGGAAAGGGAAATACTTGAGAAAGGAAACATTTTGGGCAGAGGGGAGAATACTCCTAAGAGGCATTGGACATGTGCTTGTGTGGCTGAACAGATGTGTAAGGAGGTGGAGGGGGCCCATAGCCCAGCTCTGGGGTTAGCGGTGCTGAGCCTGGCTGTGTGTAGGGAAATTTGAAGGTGGCCAGTCTAGAAGCACAGGTGGCAGCTTCAGTAAGGCTGGTGCAGCAAGCTCAGACTTGCCCCATGGAGAACATGCAGGTGTTCCTCACCTTAGAGTGTACAAAACACATTGCACAGCCATGACAGCATTTGACCTACTCAGTAATCTTTGAGGTATGACAAACATACCCATGTGGCAGATGACAACACAGAGGCTCAGAGAGAAAGAAGTGACTTGTCTAAGGACACATTGTTGGTTAGGGATGGAACTTACGCCTGAAGGAAGTCTCCCGACTCTGAGATCCTACACATATTCCACTAAAAGCCACAGTGCTGCCAAACCAGTCACTCCTCTGCTTGCTCCTCTCCAACCCCAGACCTCAGTCTGGAGGGTGAGGCCAGAACACAGAGGCGGCCCTCGGCAGTCAGCCACCCCCAACATTTTGATGGATCAGCGTTGGGTGCAGGTAGTGGGACCAGGGGTGAAAGAGGTCAAGATCTCTGACTCACAGAATTTTCCTCGGATGGATTGATACTTGAGAAAACAACGACACAGGAAGGAAGCACAAGAAGTTCCCAGCACATCATGAGAGACCAGAGCCAGATTGGGCTGACTTGGGATGGGCGGCGAGGCTGAGTCCAGAGGGTGAGGCATGGTTACCTGGACTCAGAATTATAAAATTTGGGTATCCTTAGTCCTAGCAGTTTCAATTTATTGGAATTATTTCTACAAATTAGTCAGATAAATTTAATCTATACAAACCATGTTTACCACATAGAAAATTTGTAGCTAATATACATACCCCCAAAATGACACACATATTAATTTATCAATAAATCCAAAAGGATGTGCACAAGATTTCATTAATAGTAGATAACACAGAGGTGGCAGAATTAGAGGAGGAAAAAAGCCATTTAATAAGTAAAATATTACACTTCACAAATTGCCATATCCTTTGAAAGCTTGAAAAAGATGATTTTTTATGAATTAATTTTAAACTTCCTTGTGATGAGTTAAAAATTTAAATATATACAGTTACGGGAGCAATGAAATGAAGCCTTGAAATTACACCATCCTGAGCAGTGTAACAATATCTCCATCATTTAAGCTCCTGAGATATAGTCCAATGGCAGCAATAAAACAGTCAACTTGCCTGGTTACTATTCTCTCCAGTATCACCCTTTAGGTCATTTTCAAACTTGAGCCTTCTCAGCCTGTTTTTCTGATCTACAGGGAGTGTCTATTGCAACACATTGATGAGGAATCTCCATACTTTTTGAAGACTGTCTTGGCTTTACTGAATATGGTAGTAGAAGCAATGGCATCAGTTTTCCTATTTAGTCACAATCGGGGTTCTCCTGGGCCCAGAGGCGGGAGTGAAGAACATTTGGAATGAGGAATACTGCATCAGGTCTGGTGCTACCAATTGTTGAGATTAGAAACAAAAAAGACAAAAGCATATTTTCCTGGAACTATCATCTCCCTGTGGTTTACAGTTGAGATTTATACATTAAGGAACTCCAAAGGGAGAAGAATGTTCCTGATGATGACAGATCCTCAAGTTATTTAGGTCTTTCTTTCACCATGTTCACCTCAAATCCCATCTTCTCCCTTCTTTCTGTGGATAATCTTGTTTCACTGTGTACAATTCTCTGCGGCACTAGTATATAAGTCACAGGCTCTTCAGGATCACTCAAAAACTATTCATAACAGTCACTGGGAGTACCGAGTTGGATACAATAGCCCAACACTTCCAAGATGTCAATAGGTAATGATGAAGACAGGCACACAAAATGATTGTATCTTTAAAACACCCTCTGTTGTTTATATGTTGCTTTAAAAATTCTAAAGGCAGAAAATAGCAGCAGTCCCTTCTTTTCTGATCTATTAATAAACAGTAAAATTTTGCTATGTTTTTCCAGACAACTTTCTATTCAATAATTCACATTTGCATTTTTAGATTGTCATGTAGCAATAGACAAATATATAAACAATGTATTAGTATTTTACTTATGCATGTGCAAAAATTTTTAAAAGAATACTAAAATAATCACCATTATAGTTAACACTAATGAGTTTTCATTACTTAACTCTATTATCAGGTTAGAATAAACACATTCTTCAGGAATAGCAACCACTAATATTGCAAATAAAAAAACCCGAGGCATATGGACACACCTCAATGCATACATTTAGTTGACATTTGTACAAAAATGATAATTTAAAAAATCATCTTGGGACTTCCCTGGTAGCGCAGTGGCTACAAATAAGCTCTCATTATAATTGTTCCTTTAATGGAAGTTCTTTGTTCTGACATGACAGAAAAGTGTGCTGAAAACCATGCTTCTCTGAGGCAATTTCTCAGAATTATCTGGGAGGCTGGCTTCCAGGCTACCGTCCTCACTTTGGCTCAAATAAATGCTTTTCTATTCCTTTTATAGACTGTTTACTGATTATTTTTGTGGACAACTCAGAGGAGCTGACCCACCTCCTCTTTCCTGGGACCCTGCCGCCCCCACGCTCCCCCAGTCACTGTCAAGCCCGACTCTCAAGCACATCCTTCCCCACAGATCTGAACATGAGAAGCCACCCTTCATTGCGTGGTCTCCTTTGTTCCTGCCCCAGCTCCTCTCTCCCTCACAGATGCACTGCTAGGAAGAGGGGTCTCCTATCACTCACCTTGTAACCCTCCGATTTGGATTTCATTCCTATTTCTCCATCAAAATGGCATTCACCAAATTTCCAAGGACCTCCTCCAATCAATAATCCTGACAAGGATTTCTTCTCCTTAAACTTATCTTCTACCTCCTTCTAGAAGCACTCTCCTTCTTTGGCTTCCAAGATGACACGTCCTTCCACCTCCCTGACTGTTCAGATGACTCAGTCTCCTCTCCCAGCCCAATATGCTGAGGCTTCTCAAGGTTCAAGTTTAAGCTTTCTTTTCTTCAGTTCTCTGCTCATCAGTCTCCTCTCTCCATCTTCCCCAAACAGCTCTTTCACACTCATGGCTACACTAGATGGAAGTGTCCCAAGTGTATATCTCCAGTGCTGACCATACCTCAAAGTCCAGGCTCCCTTTCTCAGCTGCCTGCTTGATTTCCCCTTGGATAATCCCTTGATTCCTTAAACCAGAATGCGCAGTCATGCTCATGATTTTCTGCCCTCAAACATGGTCCTCTCCAGCTCCTGAACTCAATGGATGTCATCCCTTCCTTCCCAGCTGGTGAACAGGAAAATAAGGAGTCCTCCTTGACACGATCTATTTGGCACATTGTCTTGTTTGTTGCTCTGGAGCTCAGCCACTTGGGTCTCTCCCCAGTACCACAACCTCATCCATGTTACCAGCATCTCCTGACTGTTGCAATAGCTTCTTCACCCACCTCCCACTTCACTCATCCCACAGACATTCACTGAGTGCCCACCGTTCCAGACACTCCTCTGGTAAAGTGGGATACAGCAGTGAAAGTGACAAGCATCCCTGTCTTAAGGAGCATCCCTGCTAGTGAGGGGACAGCTGAGATACAATAAGCATAATCAATGGTACATCTCCTGGAAGAGGACAGTGTCATGGAAAGAGAGAAGCAGTGGGACAGGGTATTTCTCCAGGATGAGAAGTACAGCAGCACGTTTGCACAATGGAAGTCCTCAGCAGGAAGGGAAGACCTGACGTGTTGGAGAAAGGGGGAAGAGGCAAGAGGGACTGGGACTGGCACAGCTGTGGGTGGCAGCCTAGACAGTCCATCTGTGGAAATGGGCAGGGAGGGAGAGCATGCAGGTGTGGGGCTGTGCAGGTGGGATTTGTGGAAGTTCTCTCCCAACTGCCCCAACTATGCCAGTGAAGTAGGAACTGAGGCTGTGAGTCACGAGTGAGGATTAAGAGGCTGAGGGTGTGAGGGGCTTTTATGAGGTTATCAAGATCCCCAGGAGTTCACCTAGAAGTGGTGTTGGAAAGAGGACTGGAGACCCAGGAACTGAAACCCAGTAGCTGTGAAAGTGATGTGCCTGGGATCAGAGGCAGCCTCAAATATGCAGACCTCATGTTCTCCAGTCTCCATTCAGAGGCTAGATGCAAATCTGACCAGGGCCCGTCCCTCCACTCCTCACTTCCCATTGTTCTTAAGACAGAGGCTCAAATCCAAAGCCCTGTCCTCGCTGGGGGCTGCCCATGCCTCTTCACCTGAGCCTGTCGAACTGCTGGCATGAGAGCTATTGTTAATAGAAGGTGGTGGGCAGGCTAGTGGTTACTGGGACTAAGTCAAGTTGGATTCATACTGCTGCATGAATCAGGATAAATTCCAAAAGGATCAAAGATTTACAAGGTTCAAAAAAAAAATCATAAAAATCCTAAAGGAAAATGTGGGGAAATTTCTTTCTAACCACAGAGAGGAGCAAGTTTTCCCAAGTACAGTTCATAATTTAGAAGCTATGCCATAAAGTCAGATCCAACCATACAAAAGCAAAAATGTCTGCAAGGCAGA